TTTTCCTTTTTTTTTTTTTTTTTTTTTTTTTAACAGCCTGGAAGGCGGGGATGCCCCCCTCCCTATAGGTATCAGCTGCAGGCTTCAATCCCCTTGCCTGGGGGTGAAACTAAAATCTCCCATTTTCAGCTTAAATGTCTCAAGACTGGCTTTAGGCCACTATTGAAAACCTGCTAGTCCCACGGAAAAGAGCCAGCACTGCACAGTTCTTCAGCAGACATTGGTGTGCACTTGACCTCCAGGTAAAACGCTGGGCTTCAAATTGCATGTGGCTGGACCTGCTCCTCGGCAAGCCCAGCCCCAGCATCAGCAACATTCAGCGCAGGTGGCTGCTCAGCCACACACTGGGTCTTGCCCAGATGACGGTAATGAGCCTTTTGTAAGCTGGGTCCCTGATGGGATTGTCCCCTGTGTGCATCATGTACCTGCTGGGGGGAACACACTCTGCCCTTGAGGATGGCCAGGCAAGGGGGGAGGTTTGCAAAAAGTTGCCTCTGTTTTAGCTGCCTAATGTCTTTTTGACCTAAAGTCTTGGACCTAGTGTTAACTTTGATCAAGAGTCTCATCCCCCTCCTCTCTCCCTCACAGCAGCGAACAGCTGCTGTCCTCATGCCCAACATCTTCTGCTGGCTGAAGCTGGAGGTGCCCAATGGTGATTCGTGATTTCCCTCTGCTGTTCCCTCCCACTTTTCTAGCATGAAGCTTTGTGTGCATCATGTTGTTGCTATTAAGTATTCAGTGCATTAGCTTGTTAGCAATATGTGATGATCTCGGTGTATAACGTCTCTTGTTGGGTCCATTCCAACGTTAGTAACTATGGGTGTGTATCTGTCCTCACGCACAAGTTCTGACTTTCTGTATTTTTAGGCCCCTTTTTTGTTCCCCCCCTGCTCTCCCACTTTGGCTTGCTGCCTCCATCCCTCCTACTCCTGTCACCACTCCCCGTGACACAAGCAGTAACACTGAACTTGGAGCTCTTTCTGCCTGCTGGCAGGAGAGGATGAGTAACAGGGGCGGAGGAGTTGCGAAAGCCTCCCTTGCAGCACACTGGCTTGCACAGCCTGTGCTAGGCCAAGATATAAAAAAAATAAGTCAGCATTTCTGATTTGAGTTGCAAGTCTCCCTGGTGAGATGCTTCTGCTAATGCAGCCCAGTCCCAGGAAAGAATTATTCCTGAGCCCTTACATGCAGTGCACGCCAGGGCTCCCAGCAATGCACAAGTAAATTAACGGCTCGCTCGCCATTTCTTGGCCGTGGTCTATCTAACGTTGGCACCAAGATGATATTTTTTACAGCATGTTCCTATCCAGCAGCACCAGCCTTGAGCCTTTTAGGTTTTTTCTACAGGTGTAGATAAACTATTTCTCTGTAAGCAGTGGCAGCTGAGCTCTTGCAGCTGTCATTAGGGGTGAACTGGGTATTGACACTCTTCTCAAAAATACCTTTCCCCTTCACTTGCTGTTGTGGAGTAGGTTCTGCTCATAAATCTGATGGAGAGGGAGGGGGGGAGCAAGTGACTTGAGAGCTGAAAGTTGGCTGTCCGCTTAATATTTAAAATAAACAAATGGCAGGGGTTTCCTTGCTGTGGGAACCTAGGCATCGACCTATGGAGTCAAATTCTGAGTTTAAACATATTGCACTATGACCAGCGATTCTCCACAATACAGTAGGATTTATTAATAGAAAATATGTCAATATGAGTTTGTCTTTGTACATGTTAGCAACATGTACAGTGAAAACACATTTTTTTTTTCTCAATCTATATTGTTATAGTTCTTTTGTGTTATCTGACATAACCATTTATATTTTGGGCTTAAATATGTTATTTGTCAAAATGTACTTTCAGTGTTAATATACCTTTAAAATCATAGTTTATCTTTTAAATATTGAATTCATATTATTTGTCTTCAAATCAATATTGCTCAGGTTAGTGCACATTTGTTAATTTTGAGATAGGTTAACCATTCCTTCCAGACCATAAACAGCATTTAATAAAACAGTGAGATCTATATAGCTCTACACAGCTGAACAAGATTCTAATACGAAGCTTGTTAAAAAAAAATCCAACATTTTACAGTACATCAATTGCATTTTATACATTTTTTTGGAACAGTTTTGTTTCTTCTCTATTTCTGTGTGTGATCTAGTACAAGAATGAAGGGAACAGCAATAGGTAATGATACTTTCCTCAATATTAAAAAGAATGCATCATATTTATCTTGCTCAGTATGGCAGCAGTGTTGGATTTCCAAGCCTGGAAGAGAAGCCAGGTAAATCAACACCTTCTCAAAACTCAGTACAGCAAGAGTGAAGTCGAAGCACTTGCCACTACAGAAGAATGGAAACAAACCAACACAAACTATAGACAAAAGTTATTTTATGCCACTTCATCGATCCAGAATCTCTCACTTGAGCAATGGTCAACATTTGACTCCAAGTCACTCCTAAGAAGAGCTGAAAGGGGGCAATGTGGGCATTTCAGTAGTTTGAGGGATGGAAGTAAATCCAATTTACAGTAACCTCCTGTCCCAAGAACTTAAAACAGAATGAGGATCCCTTCAGCCTGTTGGCAATCCTGTGCCTGGAGAACTGTGCCAGCCTGGTGGTTATCAGGCAGTCAAGAAGAACTTCAAGTTGCGAGTGACATTCTTTATTGAAAAAAAGTTTTTATACTGAAAATGTGCTTTGTCCAAAATAGCACTGCAAATGTCACTTGTCTTATTAAAATCAATGTAATAAATAAAATATAAACAACCTGTGTCCAAAACTATGAATAGTATTTTTATCTACCTCACTATACATCTGGCCCACTGTGCCCCTCCCACCCACCCTGTCTTAAATTTTTTAAAATTTTTTTTGCATGCGATTTTTTTCCCCGTGTTTACTACAAAGAGCAGATAAGGTTACATATCGTACACTGGGAAAAGCTGCCAAAAAAGATTAAACTATAGTCCTAGATTACTGATAAACCAACTCTACGTCACAAATACCCGCCTGTGTGAACTACTCAGGCTGCGTCCTACAGAGCAGGTGATGACTTGTGAGACACTTCTTCCCCTGTGCACAGCCAGAAGTGTGCCAGGTGATGTTAAGACTATTACAATGACTAATCACAGAAATGTTTGCAACCTAAAACAAACTCCTTAATTGCAATTTGAGCAATTTACAACTACTGCACTTGTGGTGGGCCTTATGCTGTGAAAACTGTGAACTGTTGCCTGAATCAAAGAAATGAAGAAATGCTAGATTCCTTTTTTTTACTTCCAGAATTCCAAGAGCCAAGACGAATATGCCAGCTCTTTTGGCCTCTTAGCCTAGCTGCCTTTCCTTTTTTTTTAATTAAAAAAAAAAAAATCTCTGTCCCTTCCATTTTTTTATTTTTCAGGTTTTTAATTTAAATGCACAGAAATGGCCAGTATATTTCATATTTGAGGAATGTATTTTGCGTATCGGGTTTTCTTTTTGGTATGGGTTAAAATAAATGATTGTCCTAATGGTTCAGGAGTTGGACCCTTCTAAAGCCTGAAGAGTCTGGAGACTCCAGAGATGAGTCTGTTGGGTCTTTGTTTTCCATTTCCTCAAGGAGACGGCAAGATCAAACTGCCCTCCTTGAGCACTTGCTGGTTGGTGGCTGGAGATGAATGAAATTTCCTCAAGAGAAGATCAAGAGATGCTATTTTAAAGGAAATGGCACCTACGGGTGCCAGAGTCAGTGAAAAAAATCTGATAACTGCTTCCTTTGTGAGTATGTGGCCTAACAATTTTGAATTGCTATCAATGGTTAAGAAAGTGAGTAAGAGAAAGCACATACTGGAGTTTCCACTGTTTTAAAAAAATGTAAATCAAACAAAAATTGAAGCTGAACAAGGAAAACATCAGATGAAAAGAAGTCTTACACCACACAAACGCACACACTCAAACACATACACACGCACACAGAATATTGTGCTTACGTGGACACACACAAGTAAGAATGTGTATTTGTATGGTAGGTTCTTGGAAATAGACATTCTTAGCAAATATGGATGACAGATCAATTGTAATTTATTTTCTTTTAACACTGTATCATCATAAAGAAAACTGGTATAAATGAAAAAAATCTATTTCAAATATCTACATCTAAAATTTTAGGCAGTGAAAAAGCACTTCGTTGACAAGGAGTGTGGAATGATGAATGTTAATTGTCAGAAACTGCTGAATGCCTTTTTTTTTAAGTTGCCACAAACAAATTCACATATCAGAACGTACAATACTGCTAAATATTCCTTTTTGTTTTTTTGATTTTTTTGATTTTTTTTTTTTTTGTTAAAACGCACTGGGGAAAAGAAAACAAAAAACTGGAAATTCATACATCTTTCAAAATTTGAAATTGAAGCAATATTCAGAACCATAGATGAAGAAACACTGTGGCATTGGTGTAATATACACAATGCACTTGTTTTTTTTTTTTCTTAAATCTGTAATGTACATCAAATACTTTACAACAATGCATTAACAAAAGGCAAGAAACATCTTGCTGTACAGAGGAAACCCCAAATGCAACTTGAAGCCTAGATTCACAATGAATGAGGATATTAAACAAAGTGTGAGAAGCTGTTCCCCATAAAGTATGTATGCTGCTCAGTTACTTGTGCTTAACTCTTGACCCACATCCACTGTCCTGCTCCTTCCTTCAGCCACATTCGACATACAGCACTGAACTTTAGACTCTACAGGCCAACAGTAAAGTTGCCCCACACTGTAAAATATATATATGTATATATATATTTCTTTCTAATTACTCCCAGGATTAGCTTTCGTATCTTTTAGCCTTCTAAAAAAAACCTTTTAATTGTTTCCATACTGGTTATCTGGGCCTTCCTATGGAACAGGCTTTAACAAACTAAATTTGCAGGAAAAAAAATGTCTTGTGGTATGCATGCACATGCACAGTTCCTGGAGCTTTTGTATCTGCCCAAGTCTCAAACCCAGGAGTCGGGAGAGGCTGGGTTGTTTCATAGTTAAGTTCACTATAGGGACGAGCAGCTGAATAGAAGTCGACGTAGTTGCCAGTTGACTTTAGTCCCAGGTGCATGTTGTATTCGCTTGCAGGTGGACGATGATGCACTTGGTCCTCAAAGAAGGACTCATCATAGTTTCTTGTTGAATTCTGAAACGGCTGATATGGTTCATAATCTTTTCTGCTGGGCTCCTGTGGAACTGGCTGTGCTGAAACCTGAAAGACAGTAATACCCACAGCTTGTTAGATACAACTTACTGTGGGCAACAAGAGGGAATCACAGAATCACAGAATGGTTTGGGTTGGAAGGGACCTTAAAGATGATGCATCTAGTTCCAACCCCCCTGCCATGGGCAGGGACACCTTCTGCTAGACCAGGTTGCTCAAAGCCTCAGAGGCTTTGAAGGAGTAAGTCTCACTCTATGTTTATAATGCTGGAAATACAAAGTTTATCTTTGTAATCTTAACATCTGCTCAAGGTATTGCTTGGTAGTGAAGTAATTCCACAGCTTTGCCTTGTCATTACATTCCTTTATGTTTCTTTATTTAATATTGTTATTAAATACACATATTATTTAATGTTATTGCTGCTAACCAATGCTTGTTTACTTCAAAAATAATTAAAATCTGGATCCAAGCAGCATAGCTTACAGTTACTTTTGTAACTATAATCTGTGTATAACTTTCTATTTTGCAGCTACATAATGCAGCCATTGGTGGCCAAAACTCAGCCTTGAAGAATTTGAATGGAAGCGATACACACTCCAAAGATACTAAACATTTTGCAGCTGCCATTGCCACAAGTGAGATTTAGAGTGACACCATATCCTTAAGAACCATGTATAGTTTTCAGGGCACTGACATGACAAACTTCCAAGCTAAGTGCCCTGAAATGTGTTCTTCTGTTACTGTTAAGCTGAACCATCTTCCTACCACCTCCTCAACACTTCACGTTGGCAATCTTGTGTTGTTGCTACATTCCAGCAAGTTGCCTTGAAGCTGAAATATTTATGATACACAGTCTCAGGCAGTCCCTTAACCCCAGTTTGACATAAAGTTTTTTGCAGACAGCCTTAGTGAGTCTCTTTTTTTATAGTTGGGACTTAATTATAATCTGAAATTTATAAAGATTTTCTAAGTATCTTAGTGGAACACTTCCTTTTACTCTATGTCACCTTTATTAAGTTTGGGCAGACTCTGACTCCAAAATGATACTGCCTTTCAATCCTCAGGTGGTCATATTGGGAACAGTGATGCTCAGGCGTTGGTGTTAGAAGACTCTGCAGATCCTGCTAACTCTGCAAGAGCTAGTAATGCTCCTTCAAGAAGAGAGCAACAGCAGCACTGCTATGTCCCAAACTCTGTGATATTCTTTCAAAGTATGTCTGTATTGGACTCTATGCGTGAAGTACAAAAGCCTGTCCATGTCCTTTAACCATCCAACAAGTGATCTTACAACACTGGGCCCAATATTAGAACAGCACAAGGGAGCACAACTACTCCAGTTTCTATTTCTAGTACTGCTGTCAAGGTGTATAGGACCTGGAGCCCCCCCTGTCATTTCACAGATTCAAACAAAGGTGTTTAGTTTTGGACCCAGGAGAAAAATTCTATACTACACTACCTATCTATATGCCAAAAAGTTAGAGACAGTCCATTTTTGAGTAGAAAATAGGGGACCGAAGTAGTACTTCTGGGTTCTTTTAGCTGACACATTATTTCTGATATGTCAATCATAAACCTGACATTTCATTGACAAAGCAAGTGGGAAAAGGTGGAAAACTGCTTTTGGTTTTTGGTGGTGGGTTTTTTGTTTGTTTGTTTTCACTCAAACTCTCACCCCAAAAATCAAGTTAGTTGATTCATGACTGCAGTTAGAGTGCACCTGATGTTACAGTACCTCATACCCTTGCTTTCTCTAAACACTGTGTTAATTAGACGGGCTTAATCTCTTTAAATGCAATAAAAGCAGAAACACCTTCGTGCACTGAACCAGCTCACACAAAGAAGGAATATGGTGAACCACATGAAATACTGGCTAATTAAAAAGCAAAACCAATAAAGAGAAATGGCGGCTCAGAATATCAGAAACTCTCTTCACCTGAAGTTTGTGGATTAAAAGCAAAATAGCATGCTCTTAAACTGAAATGTCAGGTAACCTAGTAAAAATTTTCAGAGAAAAATATTTTTTATCAATTTTACTAAATATTTGTTTATCTGTCTTGATACTACTACTAATTTTAATTGCTTTCCTTAAATGTTTTTTGGTCTCATTTCTCTAGTTGAAAAATGCTGTAACTTCTACATATTACACAGAGAAGTTGTGAAAATATTGAAGAGTTCTGATAATTAAGTACAAAGTAGGATTACACATGCTGATGTAACAAAAATCTACAGGTGAATAAAAATACCTGTTTCCAAGGGACTGAGGAAATGCTATACTGCAAATGCCAGCTATATGAACGCCATACTTGTCAATATTGCAACTTTTTCTGTGAATGCATCAGCTTGGCACCCACGCTCCCAATTACATTTTTGCAATGCCCACCATATCCCAACATACTTATTGCTTTCTGGTTTTCAGGGACAGAACATTTTAAAAGAGTCCCGAAGCTCTAGACCAAATGTCTTAGATGTATATACGCGAGAAAGTGTCCTTGCCAATGAAATGCTATGTTTTCTCTTGCTCATGTCCCAGTGCACACATTAAAAAACAACCAAGCAAAAAACCTTGCTGCAGTCATGCTTCTGGAGTGACTAAATGGCAAATCTGAGGGCTTTTGCTACACCTAAGTGTAGCGTACACATCCCTGCAAAAGATACAATGGGTTCTTTCTCCAGGACTGTTCAATACTCGAGTTTCTGGTAGGATGCCTTAAGCACATGAGCTGTGCGGTGCCAGCAGCTGAATTTTATGATGGCTATACTCAAGTAATGTGACCAGACTTAACCAAATTCACAGGACATCATGAGATACTAGAGCCAGTAGATGCGCCCATTAACATTAGCTTGGCTTTTGTAGCCTGCGTAACACACATCTAGAACTTTAAAGGCATTCAAGCCTCAGCTGCTCTTGCTTTCATTATGACTTACAGCCTTAAACAATTTTTATGCCATCTAGAACAGTAACATTTTAGTCTTCTTACTTACCTGGTTATGTTTGATATCTTCAGCAGGTGCACCATATGAATTCCTGTACAAAGTTGAGATTCCAGTGTTCTGAGCTGGAGACAAAAAAAGGAAGGAAAAAGCAGGTTTACCAAACATACTTCTTTGGCCTCAAAATGTATTCCGAAGGCTTCACTAAATATATTATACAGCACCTGTTTGCCATACACAAAAATCTTTAAAAGCATCTTTTTCTTCCTCCCACTGAACAGTCATAGTCTTTGCTTTGGTGCACATGCATGTATGTAGTATCTATACACTTATTAATGGTACCAGGAGATCTGTCATGTTCATACCAATCTTGTGCACTTCACATATAAATCAACAAAGGAATTTCATATTCAGCTAGCATTCAGTAATATATTTCAGGTTATATGTGGGATTTTATATCATACATACACTAAACAGGTAACAGGTAAATCTTGAGATTACAGTGCTTTTGCTACATGGTGAAATCATTCATGGAAAAAGTGATTAAATGCAACTGAAAAATTAGTTGTGCAAAACAGTAGTATGAGTATGTAGTTATACTGAAGATGTGTGGCAAAGATAGTCTCAAATCCATGACCTGCTGCCACTTTCTTCTCAGATGTCCTACTACTAAAATGCATGGACAAAACTGTGCTATGAGTTTGAAATCAGAAGTAATTCTAAAGACAAGGATAACATAATACAGTTTTGCAAAAAATTTATTTCCCACTCTGCCCAAAAAAACCACATAAAAAGCGAAAAGATTTTTCCCCGCAAAGCTGACTTCACTGATCACTTTTATTTGGCTATCTGAAGCTTAGTTTGCTGGTAGAACTAGAACGACTGTAGTTATTTCTCATATCTGAAAGAACATGAGGGTAGTATTTTGCATGGCTGCTGTGCGCTGTTCTTACTGAGCATGCATTATTAACTTTCCAGACACGATAAACAATGATTTGATGCTGTCATGAGGACTCTCACTACAAAAGCATGTGCCTGAAAGTAAAAATTGAGCAGCTGTGAATCAGTCACCAGCGGAACTGAAACATTGCTCATCCAACTTCTCTCAGGTCTCTGTGCAATGGTATAAAACCTAGAGGCAGGAAGTTGGTTTTAATACCTTCACAACTCGAAACCTTTGAGGGTAGAGACGAGCATCAGAGCTGAAAGCCGGGTATGGGATCCATGCTACTCACATCACTAAGAAGAACCAGAGCTACTGAAGAAGTAACCACTCTTTCTTCCTTTGGCAACCTGCTAGCATGGACCCCAGCACCTACAACTGCCTCTGTCTTTCTCCCAGCCACCGCACCCTCTCTGGAGAAAGGAATAGCACCGTCTTCAGTCAAAGTTGACTTTAATACACCAATTCTGATCTTCACATCTGCTTTGGGTTCCATGCTGAGGGTATAATTTTTGTCAGTTTGGTGCACTGTTCCATGTTGCTGCTTTACAGATCTCAGACGGTGTTCTTCAAGATCTCCAGGATGTTCTTGAAACACGATAAAGACAAGGCTTTTATGGTGGGGTAATGAGCCTGAACATCTGGAAAAAGAGATTTTTCACTAGATAACTATTAATGGATAGGGATGAAAAACTCTTATTTCTTGAAGAGCTGGATGCAGTTACTGAGACAGTGCATAGTTCTGTTAGGAAATAGAGAAGAGTTCTGGAGGTCCTAAAGAGTGCAGCAGGATCCTTTCTTTGAAGGGAAGAAGAATATGAACTCCAGTAATGGACGATGATTGGTCTTTTCCAATGGTAGGTAGCCTTAATCCTGTCTGTGTGCCAATAGGTGATAACAGATGGAAATGATGACTGCTTGAGTAGTTTGTCTTTCGCCATAGATGTCAGTACTGAAGGACCGATCTGCAGATGTTCTCTCTGCTTAGGCTGCATTTTGTCACCAAACTTGAGGGATGTACAAGACGTGACTTCTATTTCCAAGTTTTTTATATTCCAGCTGCATCCTCTGCTTTAGTGTTTGAAAATCTCCCTCCCAATGACAGTTTTTGGTATTAGAGGAGTCTGCATCAGCATTGCTATTTATGGCACATCTCATGACAGCGTGACTCTCGGTAGTACAACTGTCAGATCTTACATTGATGCCATCTTTTTTATGCCATATTTTCTGAGTTTTTTGCTTGTCCTAAAAAGTGCTAGAAGAAGTCTCGTTATACAAATTTGTTTTCTCAAGATCTAAAGATACTCAGAGTTAAGTGTTTCAGCTACCCATTTTGTAAAGTGCTACTTCTCGAAAAAATGAAAGTGATATTCAATGTGTTGGACTCTCATAAACAGAGGAAGAACTTCTTGTAACCATTTTGTTTTCATGTACATAAATTGCAAGATAAGTAGGGTTGAAGTCTCATGCATGCAAGTTTTCAGTCAGGCATGACTGAACATGTTCAGTCCAGACAGGACAATACTGTTCATGGTTGGTTGATGTCAAGAATAAAAGATTGGTATAAGATACAACATCTGAGGGTTTTATGAAGAATCTGATGAAAAATAGCAAACTGGACACATGCTAATTTATATGTTGTTCCTACAGGCAATCAGAGAGACTTTAAGGAGCGTCATGACGTTTCTATATTTTTACAGGTATATAAAAAGGCACATGGTACATATGTGCCACTAATAGCCATGACCATTATAAAAACAGAAATAGTCCACAGGTGGTGCATAGCTGTCCAATGCACTACTGTGACATTTGCACTGATGTGCTCAGAACTGTCACATGCCAGATTGAAGACTTATAGTCTCCCAGATCACATATTCTGTGATGGAGAAATGGATAGCTTCAGCTTATGAAAACAAGTGCAAGGTCTGCATTGCTGATTTCACTGCAGTGGTGTGGATACAAATGCACAAGTTTAAAATGAAAAAAAAAAAAAAGAGTACAACTCTTCTCTTAATGTAATATAAAGAAATACAATGACACATCAAATACTTGGAAATGAATGCCAAGAGTTCAAGAGCAAGAAATCTTGGCTTAGTCTAGCTGGGAGGCTGAGGTAATTCTGTCTCTGGAGGAAATGTAAGTCAAACAATGTAGCTGCTAGCAATGCATGCAGCCCCGCTCCAGTACCTGCTTCTGAACACGCAGGTGGCATCCCTGGGAACTCCATTCCCGCTCTGCCATGCTTCAGTGAGCAGTTGACTCTTGCTGTCCAAAAGGAGAGGGCAAATATAAAAGAAAAAAGGGAGAGAATGAGCTAGATGAATGGACAGATATTGTGTGGTTAGTATCTGACTTTTGCTGTTAATATTGTATATGTGCCATCATAGTAAAATTATTAAACAGAGAAAAAGAGAGGGTAATGAAATAATTTTATTTTTTAAAATATGTCAAGAGAAGGGAAATGGCTACAAGGAGCAAGAGATGAATATTTTTCAGCAGCCACACTTCCTTACAGAGATGTGAGAATTGTAGCTGCAGATGAAATGATTTGAGGAGTGATGAGAGTGTGTGTGTATTTTTTATGCAGTATCTGAACACCAGTACATGATAGTACTGAACAGGGACTTTTTACTAGGCAAAATTGTGAAGGTTCTAAAATGAGTACTATGATCAACCTGCAGTGATTTACCTGCAGTAAAGAACATTATAGAAAAATACCTTTCTTTTTTCTCCTGTTCAGTTTTCAAGGTAATATTGGTTTAAAAAAAAATAATCATATAGCTCCTCACAGCAGTTTTCTACAAAGCTGACAACAGCTTTGAAAATTATGTCACTCAGTGGTTTAAGTGACAAAGATATCACTGACCGAAGGCGCCCCCATATATCCCAGTCACTTGATTCATGATTTAACATTCAGCTTTCAGTTCTTCTAAGTACTTATTCTGAACACATTTACAGATACTTTGAAATAACAAGGCACTAGCCTTTTGCCCTCACGTACACAGACTGACAGTAAGAAAGGAAAGCTCAGCTGGACAGGTAGTCACCCTCATCTGCTATTGCATAACCTGCTTTTTCTGCTGGAAGCAGCAGGACTCCATTTTCCAAAATGTAGTTCAAGACAGTAAAGGAAAATGCTTCTGTGCTTCACAAATCTCAGCTAACAGAGATCATTACCTGTCACTACCACTGCCACCTTCCTGCACGGTGAAAGATGAGGTAAGGGCATGAGAAATTATTAAGTGTATTACAGTTTCTTAAAGTAATAATAAGTTCAAGTAGCCTGATCATTGGTAGCTATTGTAGCAGATGATGGTGGTTGTGTTCTCAATGTGCAAGGACTTGCAAGTAAGTTTAAATAACAAATATAGATGACTGATTCTTGATAACCAAAAGAAAATAAATTAATCAGAAGGTGTTTCTGCTGGTGGAAGTGAAGATACAGGGTGCAGACTGTGATGCATGTATTAGTTGAGTAAGGAAACTAAGAAAATAAAAGAAACTTTAGAGCAGGAGTCCCATGACAGTATACAGTAAGCTTATCTTCCCTGTTCTGAAGGAACACATCATGGCATAAATAACGTCATCATATGCACTTATAGTTCCTGGTTTTTTAAAGGAATATAATAGTTTTTGTCTTAAAAATATACTTTAGGTGATAAAATTTTATCATTGGTTATTATTTTCTACAGAGAAAATGGGCAGTAAATATACCATGCATCATAAACCTGTGAAGGGAAGAGGGCAATGAGAACTTTGATATTGTGCCTCTATTTTTTAGTTGTCCTTGTGAAATCAATATAAGTTACCAGCTTCAGCCAAACTGTACACTTCATAGATTCTCTGTTTTTCCCAGAGGTTTCCTGACAACTCCCCATAATGGCAAGAAGCCAACTTTTCTACTTTGAAAATCCATCAAAAACCCTTCATTTCAGTCCCAGCCAAGAGGTCATAAAATTTTTGAACTATAAACCGAGAAGAGCTTTGGAGACGAGCATGGAGACAGTCATGGATAAATTGGGACTACAGCTGTGGCTCTACATTCTGCGTAAATCCATAAGTCAAAGAAAACTTTGTGTAATACATCAGCTTGGCACAAAATACAAGACCAGCGCAAACTATGTATACGCCAGGTGGAACCTGAAAAAACATTTATCTAAGTCCCATAGGCTCTGTGGATGTATCAGCTGCGATGCATTGTATGATGCACAGGATGAAATACAAGCATTGCAATGAACTTGCTACACAAACTTATATTAGACCAATCAAGTAAAGTCAAAATGTCTCACAATTAAAAACACAAATACTGATTTTATGTTTAATGAAATCTTTATTTTATGAGCTACAAATATGTTACACAAATTTCATGTTGAATGTTGACGAGTGAGACTCCTGTCATTTTCTTTTGTTCTTAAAATGGTGCTTTATTTGAGCTCAGACCAAAGGAGCAGAGATTTGGTGACCTGAAAGACAGAGAAAGTGATTTGTTAATTTCATATTCATGTGTACAATGGTCATGTAAGATTGCAAAATATTATTTAACTTTTCAATTTTATTTTGGTTTTGATTTTTCTCACTGAGCTCAGTAGCTGGAAACATAGTCCGTAGCTGAGCATGATGCTGACCATTTGGAGTTTCCTTACTTTTTAGTAATAAAATAGATCAACAAAACCAGAAAAAATACAAGCAGATATTAAAGGAAAGCACCATGCAAAAATCAAAGTGGAGCAAAGATTGCTGGGGAAATACAAACCTCATGATCTGAAAATTATATTGAAAGAGAAAGGAAACAAGGGAAACAGGAGTGGGAGAAGAACAACACAACAGTAAAAGACAAAAAAGGATGGGGAAAAAGAAAACCCTAATTTTTTTTAAATTGGGGAGAGAGACCACCTGCAAGGAAACACAGATTTCCCACATGGAAACCCCTTTTTTTTTTTTTTTTTTTTTTTTTGGTGAACCTTCTGATACAATCTGGTACTCTAAATTTGCAGACACAGCTAGAAAAAAATAATAAAACTTCTGTTCTGTTTTTTCAACCTGCTGCTCTTGCGATTCCTTCTTCATCTATTCTTGACAAAATGCTGAAAAAAAACACAGTCCTGTCCTTCACAATCATACAAATAAGGAGCACTGAAGTGTTTTAGAGAACTGCCTTATGCAGTGACTATGAAACACTCAAAACATTAGAGAAACATAAAATGCAGTACCTTGACTGAAATCTGCTGCAACCTCATGTAGTACCCTGCAGATGCTGTTCAGGACACTCCTCATTTCTGTGGTTTCCAAATGCTCTGGACTGTCATTCTTCTTCTTCAGCTTTTCACTTTCATCTTAATTCACATTCCGTATTGGGTTTGCACACAAATTCAAAGGCTGGCCTTTAGGTTTTGATTACATAAGAGTGTGTAACACAGCAGACGGTATGAGCATCGTCATATCCTAAATACGTTTTTGAAAGCTGGAATGGATGGCCTGACGCCGAGTCAGCATCCCACTGGTGTCCCCAGTGAGCTAAGGAACACAAAGACAGCCCATTCTGGCATCCTCTGAGCAAGACCTCTACAGAGGGCGTGGGAAAAGGTAAACTGCAGAGTGACTCCTCACTGTGGTTTTTTGCTTGCCCTGAGGTAGCATTTGGAGGAGAGGACACCACGATGCTCAGCACTGTATAAATGTACAAAAATGTTCAACAGAGGTTATATAAGCCTGTGCAATGGTGATGGGGACCAACATGTATTTGGCAACAGAATTAACAAAGAGGTGCAGTACTGGGCAAAGCACTCAATTTCTTTGAATTACTGAAGTGCTAACTGGTTAATGAGCTCACTAGGGGAGAGAAGCCTTCAGTGAAACCTGCAATAGATGCCATAACATACACAGAGAAAATTGTTCCATTTACATCAGCCCAGCTGAGAAAGTAGCAGGGACAGACTTTACAAACTGCTACTGAGTTTCTGAGGAATGACTGACATGCAAAATAAGCTAACCAGTCCCGGAAAGCCACTTCCTGCAAAAGACAGATGTTAGGGATCACCGCACATGCTCAACCATTGTCATGCTTCAGAAACAATGCTAGTTAATACAAGGTGGATTTACTGACTTCCTTCTGAAATGAAAACACACTTAAAATTAAAAAGAAATGTAAAATTGCTTTTCCTATGTGAAGAAACGTGGTCTTCACAAACCATTTTCACATAGCATTGCATTCATTAAGATCAAATATTTATCACGGTGACTAAAACTTTGGAATCAACCAAAGCAGGCTGACTCTTTTCTATAGTACAGTAAACCCAGCCAAGCCTATAAAATCAGTGGTCTATCAGAGCTGAATTTTATATATGCTGTGCAAGCATAATCTCACCTGTCATGGTGTCTTTCCTAGAAGTATGTTCTCCCTTATTTCCATGGTAAGTGGCATTTGTTCCAGTTGATTCATAGTCTGTTTTCCTTTCTTTTAGGCTGATCATTTCCCGAGGTGAGGCTGGGGCACTTGCTAGATCATAAAAATGGATTTATTTTTTCTCGCCACATATGACTGAATGTAGTGTTTAATTCTAGAGTAAACATTTTAGTAAAGTTTATATTTGTTAGCATACTAACATTGAGCTGTTTGAAGAAACGCTGCCCCACTATAGAAGAAAAGGTGTTGTTATTTCAAATACAGGACAATGTATTCATGGGACAATCAACTCCAATGATCATTTTCTCTCTGAATGATCTAAGATGATAATCAAGAAAAAAGTACAATAATAATGATTTTTCCCCCCTTTATCTTCTTAATTTCTTTATCTTGTCAAAACTTTCTAGTATAGCACCTCTATTTTTTTCTCAAAATGGTTAATTTATTTCTTTTGAAAAGACCGTTAACTTTCAACTATGTGGAAAACTCTTACAAAATCGTTTTCTCCCTTCTCTGTTGAAAACAAACAAACCCATGAAATTATTCTAATGGGAACGGGAAGAAATGAAAGGTGTGTTTCATGGAAAACATACAACAAAGAATGCCTAACACTTAAAGGGAACTCAAATAATTTCTGTGTCTTTAAATATTTTTAAGATCAGGTTTGAGACCATCTAAAGAACCTGAAGGTGAACAAGTCCATGGGACCTGATGAGATGCATCCACGGGTCCTGAGGGAACTGGCA